TCTTAAAAGAATGAGATAAGAATTTTGCCTGTGAATTCAAACCTACAGAGGCAAAGTTATTTTATAAGAGATTAATTGTGTCCTAGTTGCTGACAGAAACTGAAACAAAAATTTACACTTTGGTTGTGTGGATACCCTTGTGTATTTGATGTTTTATGCAACAAAGTGTAAGTGGTTAAGATAATGAGTTGGGAAGGAAAGGCTCATGAAAGGCAAAACAGCAGTTTCTGATTTGCTGGGGAAAACAACCACTCAGTTAATAAAAGAGGGCAGCGGTTACAGCTGGTGTTAGAATTTTCTGTGTGGCTTCTACCGTTTAGTAGAGAAACGTATTCTCTTTCGATGAAAAAAAATTATCTCTAAGAAACTATTTATCCTGTTCTTTCCTGAGCCAAAGTAAGTTACTCTTATCTCAATACCTTAAGTGAGCTCATAACATTCATAGAGATTTGATTGAGTTATATGTAAAAAATAATCAGGTATATTACTTAGTATACAACTTAAAAAACAAAGGACTGCTGTAATTTTAAGTTGGGTGAAGACATTCAGACCTTTAAACACGGAAAATCCTCACAGAGTCTTAACTGTTTGCCCTGTTTTTAACGTATGTGGTCTAATTAAAATAAATTAAGAATAACTCTAAAAAGCAAATAATTTTGTTCTGTAATCACCAGTTCATAAAGTCCCTTTAACATTAAAAAAAATGAGTGCCTCACTTTTAAACAGGAAAAGCAAACTAGATGCATGTCTGAGTCTCATGTGCCTGAGAAAATTTTTTTGTTTTTTGTTTTCTATTTTTATGTTAATAATATTTTATTTTACTCCATTGCCTTTTGAAGTCTAAGTTTAATAGCATGCCAGGCATTTTCATTTGTATAAACCATTATAAAGTTATTAGTAAGCTTTTAGTTTTTCCTATGATAGCATCGTTATCAGTTGGCTTTTATATAAAAGAATGCGTCAAATATACAAGTTGAGGGGTTGGAATGGGTAAGGGTGGTTGAGGTGGTTTGGAAGGAGATATCCTTGTTTCTTAATTAAATATGTTTATATATGCATATGCTATGAAAATAATTGTTGGCAAACACTGAGTTTCTATTCATTATTTTTTCTGAAATTGCTTTTTTTGGTAATTTGGTTAAGTAACATATATTTGTTGTATTACCTCTTCCTCTGCCTAGCTAACTTTTCCTTCAGATAAAATATAAAATACATACCAAAGTCCTTGTAAAGACAATGAACAAAAAGGGTAAAGATAGAGGGATGATTAGACAGATGCATTAGAAAGTACTTGGAATGCCTCTCTGGAGTTGTTTCTGTCATTGGGGATGAGAGCTAGGCCACTGCATTCCCAAGTCTCTTTTCTGGCTCTGTCTACTATTGACTAACTTTCTGACCTTAGACAATTCACTTAACCTCTTTATATCTCAGATTTCCCATCTGAGGAGAGGAGAAATAATATTGCCTATCCCCCAAGGGTATTCTGAGCTTTAATTAATTAGTCTTTGTGCAGCACTGACTAGAGATATGCAAAGATTTAATTTAAGCAGTATGTGAACTTGATGTCCAAATGAGGTAATAATTAATGACGTCCAAGAGGGTGGACACCTAAAACAAAACAAGAAGTAACCTGTTATAAATCCTGTATTGGTGTTTTATAACTATATTTTGTATTATTGATAATAGAACAATTCTCAGGTTTTCAGGTTGGGAAAAAATATATATACTTCCCAATAGTCTATTATAAAAATATGATCGTAAGTTGTGAGGAGTGGAAACAATGAAAATAATAAGATCTGGCATTGCTTTTGAGAAATCTTGAGCAAAAGAAACGTTGTCCTGTCAATCCTGCACAGTCTTCATAGGGAGAGGGTAGTGATGGCCGTTGTTCATGCATTAACTTGTGTTCAGTTGAGAGAAAATTAGAGGAGAGGATGGCGGGAGACTGAGTGTTCCACTATTCCTTCAGTGACTGCTAGCTTTGATATTAAAAACCTAATCCACTAACTAGAGGGCTAGTTTAGGGTTTTAACACAGAAGAAAAGCAGATATAGCCAGAAATAGACTGTGAAACAAACACGCAAACAAAAACCCAAATACTTACTATAGCAAGATAGAAAATGGAAACATAGATGACCCCCTTGCCTGTCTTGCTTCACCATTGTCTTGTTTTCAAGAAGTTACTAGTCAGATCTCTCTGGGAAAGCAGTAATAACAAGGAATAGAGCCACAGGAAACATATCCTCCTTTCCTGATGCTTGAACAGCCAAAGAGCACTCTATGGAGTGGGCTATACAACCTGTAATGAAGGCGATCCCTCATTTCTAGCCAGAGTAATTCAGTTTTGCATTCCAATTTTCTCTAACCCTCTTTTTTATTTGTAAGCATTGGCAGAATAACACCACCAGGAAAATAAGATGAGACCCATTATAAAGTACTTTCAGATACCATTATAAACTACTTTCAAGAATCTTAGAATGTAAGATCTTCTAATCAAGTATGACTATTAATTTATCACCAGTGGAGAACTCTATACAAATAAAAAGAGAGATGGGTAAATACGATTGGCCATTTGTGTGCTTGGAGGATATCCTTGGCATAAAGGCTGTCTAGTGTAAGATATTGAATTTTCATCCTAGAAATTACCTATTAGGCAGCTTCTAATTTATTGTGTTAAGCTGCTTCTAATGCCAATGTGAGGTTGAAGGAGTAATTAATTTCCTCTTCTACCATTTCATTTCTTTTGTAGTAAGCTTAGGGCTTCCAGAAAAAGGTTGTCAAAAATAAACAGCAAAGAGTTGTAAATTCCAGGCTACTACTTGGTGTTATTGTGCACTGAACTTTTTGCTTCATCTTTTGTGAGGAGGACAGAGGCCAAAGGACATACAAGAATGCATCTGCCCAGCACACTGAGAAAATAATGGAAATCTATTAGATCTCTTTTGACTGTACTCCTGGGATCTGGGAAATTCTGTTATCATTAAGACTGACCAATCCCATTTTCATAGTCCAGAGATTTTTATAAAATGTAGATCATTTTCACCATAACAAAATTCTATGGCTAATTTACCATAACCACAGTGTTTAAAGCTTCCAAAGGGGCATTATACACAAATCATTCTTAACTAATAAACCCTTAAGAATTGTCCAATGAGTGAAGCTGACTCTTCTCTAAAGAGTTCCCTCTGAGCAAATGCTTTTTCTCTTCTTTGCCACCTCCATTTTTTTATGTTGTTACACATTGAGGTGTTTCTTTTTTTTTTTTTTTTTTCATTAATCAGTATTTTTTATTATGGTTTTGTGGGGTACAGTTAAGGGTAGGTGTACAATGACGTTTCATTCAGGCACCCTGTAGATAAGAAGTGTTTTCCCATCCCCCGACAGATATTTGTTACTGTTAATCCCATCCCCCTCCCCCCCATAGTTTCCCAGTACCATCCGTCATTTTCTCATAGTATTGCATTGGATGTTCAAGGTCCATTATATGAGTGAGAACATGTGATATTCGGATTTTTGTTTTTGTGAGAGGTCACTCAGTATTATAGACTCTAGTTTCACATTGTATGCTAGAAATTCAAGAACCGCTTAGTATAGCCCCGAAGGCCATGTAATCGTGGGAGAGGATAAAAGCCCAACCATTACAGTATCCCTTCATTCATATTAGAGATTGTGAAACAAAAACCTCAGTCTATTAAAAATATATCCCCTTTGATTAAGCAGGCAAAGATAACCAAAAAAATTTTCAGTGATTTATAGCTAAAATAATTCAGATGGTTACATTATCAATGAGTGTAACATTGATCACAAACTGAAATTGAGAAAAATTCAGAAGGGATATATTTAATTCCATTAATAGGTCTTATTTCCCCCTTGTTCATATAGAAAAGCAGAAGGAAGCAATCTAGAGAAACTGCAGTTAAAAGACTTTAGCATGTTGCTGTCCTGATGAATTGCAATGAATTTTTTAAAAACTGTTTGGGTTTTTCTGGGAAAGATCTAGCATTTGAGAGAAGCTTTTAAAGGTGGAAATAGTAGTAAGATTAGTTGAGTTTCACTGCTCTAAACTCTGCTGTAATTTCATTTGGATAGTTTTCTTTTCACAGAAGTATAAAGGGTCCCCAAATAGGAACTCAAAACAGGGTAGACAACTGATATTCTTCAATCTATTAACATACTTCTCAATCATTTTAAATAGTTTTATGTATTTTTTCATTAATACTCATTCCTTAAAAAAAAAAAAAAACCCAACTTTTTGATTCTGAGTGATACCTTCTTCTCCAACACAGGGGCATTATTATTAGCTACTTCTGTTCCATGTTTTAAGGAATGCTTTAGTGACATGACCATAATTCACTCCTTTAAAACAAATTAATAGAATAGACATTTATCTGTCATGATGTTGTTAAACAGAAAATAGAGAATATTTTGCACTGTGAAGATTTATAGGAAATGATGTGTTGGTGACTAGAATGTTCATTTTTACAGGTATGTAGTTAATCTAAGTCTCTTAACTAAAATTTAATTTCAGTTAGTTTAATTATTAAATCTAGTTTTTAAAATTTAATGTTTTGAATCACCTGACTTTTTGTTGGCCATAAAAACTCTTTTTAGTTAACATGTTAATTTGTAGTTTTAAAATGAGCATAATAGGCATCTATGATTTATTCTAGTCATTACCTGATTGGGATGTTTCTTTCTGCCATCTACAATTACATACCCAAGAAGACTGCAGTACCTCTCATTTCTGAACCAAGATTTCTTCTTCCTCAGAATAAATAGACCTGATTGTTCAGGTTATCTAGGACTTTTGGCTAGACAGTGGAAGAGATAACCATAGTGAAATGTTACTTGCCAATATTTGTATTGAATTTTTGTTATCATTTTTTTCTCCCCTTCAGTTGTTCAAGGAAGCCTATTACGATGCCTGGTCCATTCAGGCCAGGTAAGGGAAAGAAGGAAATGTATGAGAATAATAATATTTCCTCCACCCAATCCACTAGGCCGGCAGTTAACCATCTTCAACACTCAGGCGCAAATAGCCATTGGCGGAAAGGACAAAGGACGCCTCTTCCAAGGCCAACTCTCTGGGCTCTATTATGATGGTTTGAAAGTACTGAACATGGCGGCTGAGAACAACCCCAATATTAAAATCAATGGAAGTGTTCGGCTGGTAGGAGAAGTCCCATCAATTTTGGGAACAACACAGACGACCTCCATGCCACCAGAAATGTCTACCACTGTCATGGAAACCACTACTACAATGGCTACTACCACAACCCGTAAGAATCGCTCTACCACCAACATTCAGGTAAGGCTTTTTCTAAGAATTAATTGCTTCTGCAGCTTTGTCTTTTGGAATATTGTTATCATGGCCAGTGTTCTATGTAGCTAAAGAGTTTAAATTACTATGTAGGAAGGATGCCTGCCGATGCTTATAGTAATAAGCCCAGGGGAAGAGAAAGGTAAAGTGGTCATTGCTAAAGAAGTTGTAAAAGTCTTGTGGCATTCATAGGTTGTTATTCCTATCATATCTATCACTGAAATGGTAAAGCTGTTACTCAAAATGAGCAATGGACTACATTTTCAGTATGAAATATACCCTTCTTTCATTTTATTACCTTTTATTTTCAAATAGCAAAAAGGGGAAAAGGAGGTAAGGAAAATTTGTTATCAAATGAAAGGTTATGTCTTAGTTCAGATTTGTTCACATTTTCCTGATGGCTTTGCTAGAGCATGAAGCATTCATTATTGACGTGAATGGTTACCATTAAATCAAGGTCAACTGACACTAAAAGTTCAATTAATCCTTGAAAAATGCAGTCTTTGTGTTGATATCAAATCTTGACTATTCTCTTGTAAGTTTTTTGTACATTTTGTTTTCTTTTCACTTGACAAAGATACTAGTTATATTAGAAAATTTGAAGGTTTGAGTTTAGCAAAGCAGGAAGTCCTTAGTTTTGCAATAAGGTTTTCGTTTTTCCATTTGAAAGTAATTATATCTAAACTAAAGTGTAATACTCGGCTGACTCCCTTGGCATTTCATAAATCTAGTTACTAGGGGTAGGAGGTTAATTGAGTTATTAGCCTTAAAGTCCCTGACATAAAATAAGACATTCCAATTGCTTGTGGGGAAATTACCCCTAGCCTGGTTAGTGTTTGTAGAAAATTCAGTAGATTAGTACTTGTCCCTTCTGCTTCTTATTTTAAGACACTATCCAGGAGCCCAGTTGAGTCTTTAACAATATCCTTCAACTGACTCCAGTGGACATTGTGAACTTAAAGTCAATAATCAATTAAAGTCACTATGTGTTCCCATTTTTCAGAATTAAGTTCATGTAAGTGATTAGCAGTAAATGTGTTGTCTTCCTTTTACTTGGAGCAGAAATATTCAGCCAATTCCTTTTATGATTCCGTAGGAATCATTTGAAGCTGTGTATACTGACAATGTTATCTGGCCAATTTTATGAGTTTTCAAAAAGCTACTAAAAACCTGGTTAGTATAGCACCTCTATAATCACACGTGTTTTTACATGCAAACCTACACACATGCTCAAAAAAAAAATAGCTCTTCTCTATTGATATGAAAGCAGTAACTCCTGACACCTTGCTCTACTCACTGAAAAGAAGATAAAAGGCATATATATTTCTATCATGACTTTCTATAGCTCAAGAGCAGATCTGTTTATTGTTGGCGAAAGGATATTTCTGTCTGCATGGGTCTTGGCAGACTTGTTTTGTTCTGTCAGAACATATTCTGCTAACCGTATGGGAAGCAGAGAAGCAAATGGTTTTTTCTTCATAAGAATGGCTGGTCCTATAGTTCTTTTTAAGGCCACATTTTCACTGCCTCAAGAGGATTTAATGCCACACAGGGATTCAAAAACTAAACCATAGTGATTATTGCTTTTTTACTTTCCTTCCTGTAGTATATACACAAATGGCGATAAGTCGTGTGAGCTCCTCAACTTTTCCCAAACTAAGAAAGTCAAAACTTTGGTAGAAAATTAGGGTACAAAGTGCAAAAGTTTTGCCAGTGATTAGGACTGTAAACATCAAAGAACCTATGGTCATTTTGGTGGAGGAAGACATCTGGCAATGTCTTCCCCAACAGCCTTCCACTGGTGTGTTTCTTTTTCTCTGGGTCCAGTAATAATTGGATTACATCTACATGTCATTTCTTTTACTTCCACTAAGTCTATACAAATGACTTACAAACCTGTTCACACTCTTGTTTTAAGAGGGTGTAAATACATACTTTTGGAGGAAGCTAACAGCCTAGCAGAATTTATTAGATTGAGATAAGGAATAAAAAAGCCCTGTGTTCTTTGCAAAGACTTACTAGAAGAAATAACTTTGTTATTTGGACATTTTTGTTCTTGCCAACCACCCATAAGAACTCTGCCCTGGGCTCCGCAAAAACTTAAAAATCTCATCTTCAAGTCTATCCTGGTCTCAAGTACTCTATGTAGATCATATCAAACCAAAGTTAGGGCTGGGAACCCCACAATTATTTGACTTTATTCAAGATTTAGGACCATTTCCAGACTCTGGAGACTTAGGGGAGGAAGGTCAGTCCTAGAAGCATTAATATGCCTATGTGACCCTCCTAATTTTCTTGGTTGAAGAGAACTCATAAAGTTCTCATCTCTAGGAGAGTTTTCAGAAGGGAGGGGGACAAAAGATGGAATATTTCATATCCACCAGGCCAATCATTCATTTTATCGTCTATGTGAAACCATCACAGGACATTTCCAAATGATACTTCATTCTGTCCTCTGTTGCTTTGATAACATTGTTATAGAAAAGGTGTCCTAAAGTGAGACTTCCCTAGAGGAAACAAAATAAGCATGTGAATCCACAAATATAAAAACCTGGCTATTCAAAAATCTACTAGCACATCCGTAAAGGATAAGTTAAGAAAACATCCTTTAAGGAGTTCTTTTCTGGTGATCTTTGGTTAGTGTGGATTTCAGATCAAAGGAAAACTGTAAAGTGCTTTCAGTGCTGCTCTTAACTGTGTGTGAACAAGTGAACAAGTAGCTTTTGAGTTGATATGTCTCTCCAGTGCTGTAGCTGCCTGGAAGTAATTGCTGCTTTGATCTTTCTGATGTTCCATTTTGTTACAGATATGAGTGTAGAACTACTTATAAATGACACAGACGGCATTAAATTACTCATAGCTATTGTGCCCAAGCAACAAGTCTTCATCCTATATTAAGAAGGATGTCTCTAGGTGCTCCCTTGAATTTAAAAAGAAAAAAGTGAGAAAGCAGGGGAGTGGGAGATAATTCTCAAGAATAGGTCAGACACTTAGTAGGTGCTTAATAAATATTTATTGACCAAATCAAAAACAAGACAGGCTTTATTATCTTATAGTCATTTCGCAACTAGAAGTGGCATAGCTTGGGAAAAGTTTTTCCTCCAGAATGATGAGGGTGCTTTGGACAATTTTATATTTTTTTCAGGGGTAAGACTATAGGATAGTGATTTTATAGATATACTTGGAGTCATACCAGCTGTGTTTAAAACCTAGTGTATCCTCATATTAGCTAAGTGACCCTGGACAAGTTACATAAATTATAGTTAAATACTACTGTGAAATAAACTTTCTCATAACTTAGAACAATGATTATGTCATTAGATCTCACAATTTCATGGGGCAGGGTTCAGTAAGGCAATTCTGCCTTACCTGGAGCTGACTGGGGTCATTCAGTGGTTGCTTTTGTCTGGAGAGACTGACTTTATTCACACCCCTTGTGCCTTGGCAGGTTAACTGGAAAGATGGAACTCAGCTGGGCAGTTTTTCCCTTCTTTTTTTTTTTTTTTTTTTTTTTTTTGAGTTGGAGTCTCACTCTGTTGCTCCTGGCCACCGCAATCTCAACCTGCTAGGCTCCGGTGATCCTTCTGCCTCAGCCTTCTGAATAGCTGGAATTACAGGCGTGCGCTACCATGCCCGGCTGATATTTTGATTTATTATAGAGATGAGGTCTCGCCGCCCATGTGGGTCTCTAACCCGCTGGCTCAGGCAATTCACTCACCTCAGCCTCCCAAAGGCGAGGGATTACAGATTGAGCCACCGAGCCCGGCTGTTTTCCCCTTCTAAGTAGTGTCTGGGATTCTCCTTGTGGTTTCTCCAGCAGAGTAGATGGTTTCCCAGGGAGACAGTTTCCAGGACAGGAAGTAGAGGATGCCAGTTTTTATAGCCTAGGCCAAGACATGGGCACAGAGTTACATGTATACAGTACTCTCTTGGTATAGTCACAGAGTTTTCCCAGTTTTAGGGGAGAAGACATAAATATCATGTCTTAATGAAAAAGTAATAAGAATGTCTACCACATTGTAAAATGAGGAGGGAACTGCTAGTGGCTATGTTATATGATCATTGTAAGGGTAACAGAATTAATACAAGTCAAATGCTTAAAACAAGTGTACCATACAGAATAAGATTATATATTTTAAGCCATTATTATTCTATTATATCCCCAGAAGTTGGTATGTACATCAGTACTGTCACCAGCAAAGATCTGTCTCAGCAAATGGGACTGCATCTATTGACAGTAGTGGTTGTAGTTTAGAGTGGGGACTAGTCCTGGGCCGGGAC